CAAGAGAAATTATATAGATCAGAATTATATATCATAGCAAAGAAGGATATTTTTATGAAATAATTATCTCAGGTATGTTTCAATCAACATTTGACATAGATTCTGTGTAGTATATTCCTATACTGCAGATTCTGCACAAATATTTAAAGAAATAATTGATAATAAATAGAATGCATTTGTGAGATATGCGATCCTAATCGGGTAATTCAAAATACACTGTTTCCTCGATAATGCTAATAATATTATAAATATTTAAATGCGGACTACAATTGCGCAACTGTTTTTGCGTGCAATATTATTCAGACTTAAAAAAAAATCTTTTTACTTTACTTTTTATTATTGACGATCTCAAGGAAACATATTTTTAATCACCCGAATAGAATAAATTCATTGTGAAATCGCACGAACTTTTCACTGCTGAACTTGTTATCATAATGACAAGTAATATATTCTCCAATTTTCTTGATTTACGTACAACATTGCAAATTCATTACTTTACTCTGAAGTTATTGTATAGTAATTTATTTGTAAGATATTATTTAATAATGATTCATAAAATGAGGATCTCGGAAAAATATCAAGCAGTTACTTACTTTCCTTTACTTATAAATATATCTAAAAAAATTATTGTTTAACACATTATTGTTTAAAATAAACCTTTTATATTATATGCAAGAATACTAGAGTACTTATTAAGTTTAGAAAGAGATACTTAAAATATACAATCGTTAAATATTAATTTTTATTTACGTGTTTTTGAAATACAACTTTAATTACTATTAATTAGAAAGAATTAATTAAAATTATAGAATTGGGAATATTTTATCAGTATCTACTTTTTACAATCAGTGCCTTATGGTACAGATTTTCAATAATAAAAATAATAAAAAGTAATAAAATTTTAATAAAGCTCTCTTGATACATCTCGTAATATATTAGATTTTATAAATTAATATAGATTTAGATAACATTTAACAAAATGATTGTGAATTAATACTACAAACTAGCCATTATCTTCTACTAAATACGAAATAATATCATGACATCCGTTTATAATATCATGACATCCGTATTATGCAAATAAAGTTCTAATTCTATACTTAAGTACTATATTAACAATATACGTATTCATTTTAAATATCACAAGGAATGATTATTGTCGCCGATTACTTTATAGAAATTTTTTAGTTTACATATAGTTACATTTAGTTTACATATGATGACATTGCAATAATTCCATTAGTGATATGTTATATGTTTTTTTAATAAGTCATGCAAGATTATTACATAAATTTGATTTTTAAGTAGCTCTTATTATAATCACAATTCATCTTTCTCATTACTTACGAATAATATGCTTTATATGTTAGTAATTTAAATATATCAGTATACTTTTGTAATATTAATATGATTCAGTCTTTATATAATATTAGATGTGTAAATTATCGGTATCTTTGGATTTATCCATTCTTATTGAAATCGTCATATTTTTTTCGCATCGAAATCTAGCAATTAGTCGAAAAGTAAACTAAAATTATAAAAAATGATAAAGACTATTTTGATAATTTTTATATTATTTGATTCAATAAAGTTTGAATTTTGTAAAAGGAGACCCCGAATTAATTTATACATCTAATATTTGCGCGCGCACGTTATGATATTTTTATCATGTGTAATGTGTAAAATTAGCTATAACCTTCACACGTAAAAGAGAACTCTCTTATTTTTATTAATATCTTACATAGAATTTTATTTTTATGTTAATTTATACTTTTTTTCTTTTGACATAAAGTTTGTGAAATAAGTATATGCTATTTTAAAGAGATATAATAGATTAAATAAATAAATTCAACGAAAAATAGAGATTTTTTTTTCTTTCATTTTTCCTCAATATAATTAGTTTATTTCTCATTTTATATGACATATACAGTTATATAATTATAATTTTTTCTTACATAAACAGTAAAATATTTATAAAGACATTTTTAATTAATGTCTCATGAAATGAAAATCAACATATATAATGATATATTTCTTTCCTATTGATTTATCATTATTAGCATGCAAAATTCATGGAATTTTAGCATTTTTTTTATAAAGAGGACCAGGAACGCCGAGATAATATAGTAGAGTAGGAATGATATATAATATTATAGTATCTGTATTATATTACATGATGAAAAATGTTAACAACCAGGAGAATGTAACAGATATTAAACAATGCAAAATATATAAGCATATATAGTTTTATTAACTGCGGCATTTTTATACGTGTTTTATTATGTGTTTAAAACCATATCCATCCCTTTTTTATTTTAAAAATAAAAAATTCTATAATCATATTATGCGCATTATATTCACTGAAATCTATGAACTAAGACCGACACAAATAAAACGATGTTAAAGAAAAATGAAATGGTGCAATGACCTGATAAATATGATAAGAGCAATCATAATTTTGCATGTATGTATAGACGCCTGAAGTATTACATGCATATCTTCCTAAGATATAATAAGACATAATAAAATACTACATTTTTTAACAAATTTCAATTAAAATAACATGAAACTTAAACATGCTAATTAAAAATTTTATTTTGATGTAGAATTATTTTTATATTGTTATATTCCATATTCAATATGGCTTGATTTATTCATAACATATTGGAAACATTTTTTTGTGTTTAGAAACAGTTATAAATTAGCATGAAACAATCACAAATTATGTAAACAACAAATAGAAAAAATATCTCTTAATTACAAATATTAAAAAGAAGAAATTTATTTGAAAATTATTTAATTTTTCTTTAGTTATTAAGTTTTAAATATTATTAATATTAAGAATTTTTATGTTAATATTATGTTAATATTATGAATTTTTGATTAATCAATGCTAAATACTATTTGTAACCAATATCAATTTGCGAATGATTAACGTGACATCGTTTTTTTCAGAAAAAATGAGCGCATTAATGGAATAGATTAATAAATTAAAAGTTCAATTCTTCTATAAATGGAAAAAACTTTGGTTAGTTACTCGTAAATATTTGAGAATTTAATATCAGCTTTATTAATGACAAATCAAAAAATAATGTTGGAGTAAACGTATTATGAATTTCAGTCACTAATAATCTCGATTTAATATTATATAAATTTTTATTTATAAATAAATATATTATTATTGCCTATATATATATATATGTTATCAAATTATTTAATAGTAATTAAAATATTTTGAGGTTCTTTTTATAGACTTAATATTGTTCATTCTCACGAGTGATCTAATCCAATGAGTGAATTCATTATTTCAGAGTAATATCAATTCTACTCTGTCTTTCTGCTCATTCATTTTGAAACAATCGATTTATAAGATGTTATATTTACGATATTTTGTTCTTTTGCAAGTGATTGTTTCATAATTTTTTAAAAAACAATTTATTGATATGATTTACAACAGCGAAATTGTAACTATATCGTAATCTATGTCAATTTGCAATGCATACATTTATTTAAATTAAAAGTTAAAAACTATAACGCTCAATATCATTGATATCTTACAAAATAATTGTTGTGCATCACAAACACAAATAAGATAATTATAAACGATTTAAAAGTAATGTAATATAATGAATCATAAATTACTTACCTCCACAACTGTTTCGCCGATATGCTCAATGCCTTCCTCTTTCTCTTCCTTTTAGATCTCGTAAAGTCTCCTTGTCTGTGACACACGACACTTATTCACGAAAATTATAGTTAATTACGAATTATAGTTAATCACGTACACGATCGCTAATTAATAAAATACGTACATATAAATACATATAAATACATATAAATTAATAAAATAATCACACAGTGCGGTACTTAAAATAGTAATTACACGCGACGTGCATTTTATTTCATTACGGTGGAAAAAATAACGCGGGAAATGTAGTCATATGAAACCATTATCGGTCAATGTCCGCGACGAATCGCAAATTAGCGGAATTAACGGGAGAAATATCGAACGGCAAAGGGATCCACTCTCCGATTTATCATGGCACGAATTCACGCATATACATGGTTGAAAGATGCTCAAAATGCTATATTCTAATTGCGGTTAAATTAAATGTGTCGTTCCAGCCGGAATCGCTTTGTCTACATTTACTGCGACATTTTATCAACTGCCGAAAAATCAAAATTCAAAAAAGGAAAAAAAATCACACCTAATCACACGGGAAAAAGTACTTCAAAATTTATTTGTGAGAAATAAGATTTATTTAATTTATTAAGATTTATTTAAATACGGCATAAATAAAATTGGATTCGTATATAGCAAATAAGCCATCTTACAATTAGTAAAAAAAATTTTTAAATATTTCACAGAAATATATATTTCATCAAACTTTTTTTTATGATCAATAAATATCAAAGTAAACATCGCAAGCTAATATTTGCTTCTGAATATTTCAACTTTGTTTTCTCAGTGTACTACGCGAGTCAATTTAATAATCAGTTACAGCGCGATCGTGCGATCATAATCAAAATTCTCGGTTCTGCTCGTGACGCGACACACGTTCGTCTTTACATAATTCACATATCAGGAAGGAATAATTAATGTTCGCGAATGTCGCAAGATTGTAACGCGAAACTCCTATATAACCGATTCTATCGCAAAGTTCCTTCTCGATTAATTGAATCGCGCAAGTGCCACTTCGATGCATGAAAATCATTCGTCATGTGATTCGGTTTATCACAGTTTCAAAATAGTTTATTCGTAGTGAATGATCGCCGATGTTTCGAGGGATAATAACAACATACGAAGCGGCACGCGCTCGCTACCTACTCGCTCGAGCGTCAACACAAAAGTGAGCCGCGCACGCGGCTCATTGTAGTATAATACAAACACGCCCACGCCGAGTCACACAGACGGAAACAAACATGAAGATCGCTCACCGACTGTCGTAGTCGGTTTACTTTCGTTTCGAAATACTCAATCTGTGCAAAATAAATTTACGTTGAATATTCTATTTCTTCCTGATTTCTTCCTTTTTATTTTTTCAGCCTCCCCCCTCCCCTACATTCGCATATTCCCTATTCAGTCTGTACAAAATAAATTTACATTGAATATTCTATTTCCTCCTCACTTCCTCTTTTCTTATTTTTTTTAGTCTATATTCTCTCTCACGTATTTCGTGATTTGTTTGTGAAAAGATTAATTTTATCTATTTGTAAAATTAATTCCTTGATTAAAAACGAAGATCTAGTGAATATATATTTCTTAAGATTATATTAAGTTTTAATTTTAAGTTTATATTTCATAATTATGATTTTATTTTAATGTTACTTATCCAATTATTTTAATATTAATTTAAGATATTAATTACAATTAAAACAGCAGTTTGTCTATCACGCGATATAATGTTAATAAATGAATGTTTAAGAAAAAGAAAAAAATATAATTTTTAATAAAAATGAAAAGAAAAAAATTTTTAGAATTATTGTAATACTAGATTTATAATAAATTTAACATTAAATAAATTAAAACATACATACGTGGTTTTCTTTAAGAAGGTATTATAAATGACATTCAAATTTATCAGTATTAATCCATGGTTACGGACGTCATTAGTAAGATATTTTTTTAATTACACTTTAATCAAAATTTCTCGAGAATATCTGAAATAAGCACGTAATGCGCTTGTTTATTACGTACACCATCGTTGAGTGCTTATTAACGTATATCTGTATATAAATTGTTAGCCGATTGCTGATATTAGATTAGATATCCGCAGAAAGATATTCACTGAGATTCAAACATCTGAATTACAATTTTAACTGTGTATTATAGAAATTGACTGATGTATAACAAAATATATAAGAAGAAAATATATCTAATGAAAATGTAAGACATATGTAGTGTTTATCATCGCAGTATCGCATTTTAAAATACCCCAGGTCATGTTTGTGATTATATTTTACTTCAACCACAGTATTATATTGACACTTGAACCTCGCACTCTGCGCAAGTTGCGTATTAACGTATTTAATTTGTCATCTCTTTCGGAAGATTTACTCAGATAGCATTTGCGTTATCGAGTCTGTAGAACCACTGACGTGAACGTACGAGATTCGCTATATTTATCGCGATATCTTCGTTGACAACATATGAGATATAAGGAGCAAGTAACTTGAACAGAGATAGTGCTGCGCCAGATTTTGCCGTGATTCTTAGAAGAAAATCAAAGTGTGATCAAAGAAAAATAATTATTACAATGAGGTAAGAGGAGTTTTTCTAATAAAAATATTTTAAAATAAAGAAAAGAAAATAAACATTTATGTTAAAAAATAACTATAAAAACATTTTTTTCTTTTTCGTTGATTTAAGAATTGTAATATAAAGCATATTTTTGCTAAAATATTTTTTTTCAAATTTACTCTGTGTCAACTTATGTATATGAACAATAATTCATCGGTTGTATTAATTTAGAAAAATGTATCTTATTGACAATCTATTTTCGACTTATGTCAAATATGGACATTTTAAAATATAATTGATTAACAAATTATATTTTCGAAATTTTTATAAGTTTTGTAAAAAATGTAAGTTAATCGTTATATTTAACTTATTAATTCAATTAATTCAATTATTAATTCAATTATATTTAACTTATTAATTCAATTAAATTGAGAATAAATTATTTTTAATTTTTACTGATTTGTAAGAAATAATTTGAAACATAAAGAACAAGTTTTCTCTAATCTCATATTTTTAAATCTCTAGTGATTAAAAAAAATTGAAATATAGAAAATAAATTTATCTGTATAGATTGTGGATATTGTTAACTGCACTCTTATTAGTTGCAATCCTTGCGGCGGAAGTTTCTGCAAAAAAATCAAACAAAAATGTGGAATCAAAAGATAATAATGCAAAAGAAAGGAAAGTTGATGTGGAATACCGTACAAAGTAAGTTTTGAACAGAAAATATAAAATATAAAATAAAATAATTAAAAGATATATAATAATAAATAATAAGAAATAATTTAAAATAATTAAAAAATTTATTTCAAATTTTATCACATATTATCACATATTTAGCGTATTAATTTTATTTAATTTTTTTAATACAACAATTTCAATTATTATCGCTTGATATATAAAATTTATGTAAATTATAAATTTAATTTTAAATTTAAATAAATAAATGAAATTACAAATAAATTACAAAATAAAATATATATTTATAAAATAACAGTGTTTTATTAAATGATATATTTATTTAAAAATTATAGCTTTTGCTGATTTTATTATTAATTGTCATACTTTTTAGAGATAAAAATCAATCAAAGAACAAAGACAAATATATGAAGGAACAAAAGAAACGGAAAAGCAGTTCAGAACAGAACATAAACGAAAAATCTTCTGAAAAATACTCAGAAGCGAAAAATTCTTATAAATCAGAACAAAAATCGAAAAACAAGCAGAACAAACGTGAGGAAAATGAGGAAGTGATAAATGATGAGGGAAACAAAAATATTGACAAGAAATCGAAATACACGAAAGATAGTACAAAAACGCAAAATAAAAAAGATAAGAATAATAAACAACAACCGAAAGAATTTGAAAAGTCTTCCGAAAGTTCTGAAAATTCTGAGATTCGCCAAAAGTTCAAGAAAACTTAAAAGAAGGAAAAATAAAAAAAGTCGAAAAATATTGAAGAAGTTGAAAACATTGAAAAAAATACTGATGTTCAAAATAAGAAAAAGACAAAGCGCTCCAAATCTGAAAATGTTCAGGAAGTTGTTGATAAAAATGAGAAGAAAACTAAATATGATAAGAAAAAGAAGGAAGAGGTACTCAAAAACATGGAATCCGAAGAATCTGAGCAAGAACTAGATCAAGCTGATATAACATCTGAAGATTCTGAACAGGAAGAAAATATGGACAAGAAAGAGGAACAAAAAACTCAGAAAACATTAAAAAATAGCAAGAAAAACAAACAAAAGCGTGAAGTAATGCAAGAAGAAAAAGAAGCCGAAAAGGTGCAACCAGAAGAACATTACATTGAAGAAGAAGAAAACAGTGAAGTAGAAACAAATGAAATAAATACTGAGAAAAATTGTTTAACTGAAACAGATGAAGAAGTATGTTCAGCATCGGAATAATAATATTTTACTACATTGATAGTAAACTGAAGAGCAATAAAAAACATATTTATGTTAATAACATTCACTTTTAGTATAATATTCATTAATATGAAAATATATGTTTCAAACAATAAAATATGTTGTATATTAGAGAAATTTATTTATTTAGTACATAAATTAAATTGCACGTATATAAATTGTAAATTGTACATAAATTTTTGAATATTTATTGAATTTTTTATTTAAAAATATTATTTTTCACAGTCTTGATGTCTCCTTTACCAATTATCCATAACATCGATAGGATTATCTGAAAATTAATTTTATAATATTATTTTACATTTATTATCTTTTATTTTATTTTATTTATATCTGCGCATAATTTGCAGTTTATAAAAGTATTTAAATATTTTAAATTCTTTTGAAAAAAATATCTATGCTTACGAGTTGATTGTGCCATAAATATAATAACCCATCCCGATCCAATATTATTTACTGTGGAAGTATATTTAATGAGAATTCGATCAGTATCAACTTCCAGTCTTGCTGGATCATCCTATACAAAAGAAATATTTTTAAATATGTATTATATATAATATTAAATATGTAACAAAAATATACATTTATTATATATTTTAAAATTATCATATATTTACAAATTATTTAAAGAAATATTTAAAATAAAATCTAAAAAAGTTCTTCAAAATATTTAATTTTCAAAGTTCTAAAAAATGATCAGTTTTTTAAGTATCATTTTAATAACTTACTCCACCGCAGTAAGTGCTGTGTAAAAGTTCTCCGCTGGGGACAACGTCGTAAACCTTGAGATTATTGTTAGCGCAGTTCTTCTTTGTGCCGATGTCAAAGACGGGGAACTGGAGAATGATCTTGAAACCCCGAGGTACGCTTACGTCCCAAGTGCACACGGTATTGTTGCGATATATGTTGGGATACAACGGTGAGGTGAATCTGCCACCGTAATTGAATATACGACCGCCACAACCTCGACCTGCGTAATTTTGATTTTGAGAGATGTTTTACGAAACGAAACGATTTACACGTACGTTTCACTTGTGATGTAACTCGCATGGTATTTGAATGCCGCGAGATCGCAATCGGATTTTCACGCGGTCCCCCGCGAAAATAAACCGCAACATTTCACGAGCGCGTATCTCGAGGCGCCGCAACGTCGTAAATCATCACCCGTGCGTTATAATTTCTCCGCATCTGGTGGCGCGCATTAATCGGATGCAACGATGGGGATTTGTGCACGCTGCTACAAACGCGTCTCCTACCTGCGTCCGTGGTCGTGTAAATGATGTCATAACTTTGATAAGAGCTGGCGCTCTCGGTCCAGGAATGCAGAGTGAGTTTGTTGCCGGTACTGAAAATCGGGCTTGGTATCGCTGTACTGCACAGCGTCGTTATAAGTGGTCCGCTCGAATCACCCTCGTGAATCTATAAGACACATAAATTTGTTTGGAAATTCGAACTCACAGCAACGAATATTGAAATACGTCATTTGGATATTTCAAAGTAAATAAGAATATCAGTAGCCTCTTAAAAATGATTGATTGCATTAGTATGTGTAAAGATAGATAACGTACTTGTAGCGCGTTGCGCGTGCAATGCTCTGGGTCGTAAATGCTGAAATGATTGAAGTACAAAGAAATAGTATGATTTGCTGGAGCAGTGATCGTGATCCAGCAACTTGTAAATCCGTTATGGAAAATTCGTCCCTGCTCGCTCGTGTAATTTCGATTGCAATTTGTTGTACTATATTCCAGCTTAAAGCCTTTATGATCGTTAGAGGTTGATTTAAAAGTTAGTTCAACGTTGTCACTGTAACTATAAAAATATATTCAATTGAATATAAATATATTCAATTTGAACTAACGTTTCTTTTAAAATTGTATAACACATCATAATAATTTGATAAGATCCAAGAATAAAAATTGAATTTCACATACCTATAATACTCGTGTGGTAATTCGTTCCCGCAATATTTATACGAAGCGAAAGGAAAACGGCTACCCTGAAAGAGACAACAAAATATACGCAATATAATAAGGCTTATTAATAAAACAAAATACATTAATTTTAACATGAAAAACTTACTATTTCGACAGTAATCGGATGATTTCTTTCACCGCTGTATATGAAATTTGTTCCGAAGCCTTCATTTATGTATTTCTTATTGAAAAGAAGTTATTGGAAAAAAGAAAGTAATTCTATAGTTATTATTATAACGATTTATGATGTTATATTTTTTTAATTATTTATATAATAATTTATTAATTCTATTAATCAGAATTGTAAAATATTTCAAAAACAATTACATATCTACCTTTTGCTCAGTAATTTCAAAATAATCGGTTTCACACTTGTCAGAGTCCATCAGATCAAAATCTATAAATCGGATTCGTAATCTATCACTATATTGATCGGCAAAATGCAAAACCCAGTGGCATTGTGTACCAGCTAGATGTGTATTTGGATAACCTGGCGAAGTAAGTATCTGAATTGTCTCGTTTACTATTCGAGTGTGCAAGCCACACAATGCTGTAACAAAATAATGTTACAAAAGTTATATCCATTGTTACTACACATATGCAAGAAGACAAATTCCTCGGATATATTTTGCCTCGTATAATAGCGTAGGTAGTGTCAATTAGTGAATTGAAATTATTCATTAGTTATTCATTAGAAGTGAACATAAAATTTCTTACAATCAACAGTATCCAATGTAGCTGTCGCACCGGCACCTTCAGTAGTGCCATCAGTATAAAATCTAATCCACAATTTGTTTGAAGTAGATACTATAGGAAGAGGCGGTACATTTCCGCAAAATTGACCCAAAAGTTTATTATATACTCCACCTCCATCTCGAACCTGAGAACGATAAAATACACAATATTATTATAATAATATATTAATTTGAATATAATATCCTTAAATTAAGATTTATTTTTGACATTTTCTTTTTTCTTTGTTAATTTTACATTTATTAAAATTGTTTTGCACATATCTTTTTAATATTTATTACAGTTATATACGTATATAATTGTAATAAATATTAAATAGAGTTCGTATAGAGTTCGATATTTTGTTATCAGTATCTCTGAAAGTATTTATCAGACGCAAGCGCAAATTTACCTCAAGATAATCACCGCTACATTCATTGCCTCGAGTGACATTATTAGTCGAGTTTTTGATATCCATGCTATTTATAGTAAATCTTATAGTTTTAGTCGGCGATGTCACCACAGTCCAATGACATTCTTCAAATGACTGATAAGTTGCAGCCTGTTGAGTTCTGAATGATTTAGATTGAATCGAAGTTAGATTGACGAGTCCTCCGCAACCACCGGCTGGACTTGTCGTAAACAACACCTAAAATTTTTTATTATTATTTATGCATTATCATATTCGACTAAAAATATAAGTATATAAATAGATAACGGATAAAACTTATACTACAAATGCAACATTTATTATTATCAAATGACATTTCGATGACATTTCTTTTTAAATAATGCTACAAAATAATATTTAACATAATTAATAATACCTTGGCTGTAAAACCTTCAAACTGTCTCGAACTATCAGCATTAAAGTTAACAACCATAGAATTAGAGTCGGATTTAAATGTTGGTAAATTATTAGTCAAGTTTCCGCAAACCAAAGCAATCCGTTTACTTTGATTAACTAAATCACCCTCGAAAACGGCGACATTATCGAAGTAGCAACTATAAATTGGCAATAAAGATAGATGAAATTTTTAATGGAAATAATCTCGATTATATATTATAATAGATTTGTCGAAAACATACTTTGTGCTAAACTCCAGAATGAACTTTTCGAAGCGTAAAAGTACACTCTTTCCTTGTGGCGCTTTAATGATCCAAGTGCAATTCATTCGTCCAAAGTATTCTTCTCCATGCATCAAAGGCTTAAGTTCGGTAGGATGTGTGACAATACCACCGCATTCTGTTAATTACAATGTATTTATTATTCCTTTAGCTTTTTTGTTATTTTCTTAAAAATTTTCTCATATAAAATTATTAAATACTGTATTTTTAGTAAACACTAATTACAGTTCTTTAACAGTCGTTTGTAATTTGTAATAATATTTGTTTTATAATTATTAATTATAAAAATTTATATAGCGCAAGAGAGACTTACTGTTAATAAAATATTTAAACTGAAAACCATTTCGCTGCACATATTTGTCTGTCATGAAGATAATCTGTATCTGTGACATCGATCTTATAAGCGGCGGTTTATTGGTGCCACAATAAGTTTCCACTTTTTCCGTCATATACATAGTTTCAGATATAACAGTGACGTTATCATACCGACAGTTTGTAGTGCTTACTGAAATTAACTTCTTTTAATCTTTATTATTTCTTTACTTTAGCTAGTTGTAATAAATATTTTTCATTTCATAGATATTATCGCATGTTTTTTAAGAATCTATGAGCACTGAGTATTTTATTACACTTAATAAAGTAAAATCTATGTAGTATGTATATATATATATTCTTCAACATATCTGGAAAAAGCAATAGTTGCTGTCACCAACTCACCCCACTCGAGTTGGAAATCGGTGAACTCGACGATAATGTCTTCGTCTGGTGCAACAATAGTGTAATTGCAGAAAACGTTGGCTGGATAATAATTCGGAAATGACGGTGATTGGATCATGTTAACGTTATCGGTTGCCTGAAAAATACCTCCGCAATTCTCGCTCCAGACAGCATGGAAACCATCCGATTGTATTGCTTCATTCGAATGAAAGATCACTTTCATGCGATTTGTCGTCGAGTTAAAGGGCGAAGGTGTATTCCTGCCGCAAACTTTTCCAATACTTTTCCATTCGCCATTGTTATAATTTCCTTTTTCTTGGATCCAATCAAATACCTGTGTAATGTAGTTTTTTTTGTTGCCATTTTTCTAATTTTTAAACTTTTTTATATTGTTCTTGTTTCTTTATGCTACGACAATACTATTGTAAGAGTCAATATAAATTAAATAAATCTGATAAGTTAGTTAATATTAATATTAATAATGTTAATGTATATATATATATATATATATATATATACATATAGTAATAACCAGACCTGGACATAATCTTTCTCGCAATTGGGACTAGTTTCCAGGCTGAATCGATCGATGAAAGTTAAACCTATATGATAACCGTTGTCACCTATTATCTCCCACGTACACTCGCCATTGTTTGGATATTGTTTGGGGAATCTGAAATTGTAGAAATGTTATTAAATAATCTTTTTTTATAGATTATATTATATATCACAGTTTCTGCATTTTCAAAAAAAAGAAAATAGTTACTCCGGAGATGCAATTTCGCGGCTGTGACCGCGTAAAAATCCACCACAACCTACGCTAGCAACCGTGACATCAATTTCAAATCTGCCTAAACCGGATTCAGAATAATATTCTATCCACAGTTGATTCGATATACTGTTGACATTATATCTTTGAAGCTGACTTGTAGCATGTAAGCAGTGTTTTGCGATTTGAGGTGCTGTTGCTCCACCATTTCTGGTTATAAAAAAAAGCCACGGATTAAATGAAAGAATATTTAATAACTAATATAAAATAGTACTTACTTGATAATAAGATAATTTCTATCACAGTTACTTTCAAGTTCAAGTTTAGTGAAAGACAGTTTAATCGTTTCTCCTTCGGGATAATCTATATGCCAAACGCAATTTATTGGAGGTGTTATTGTATGAGGCGTATCATTTGGTGACGTAATATGATGACTTGGTCCTGATAAAACACCACCACAAGATTGCCATCGGTATTGTAAATCGAAATTTATACGTTTTCCATTCATTCCATACGTTCCATTCATTATCTAAAAATTAAAATATTAAAATTTTTTTTCTACATTGGATATAAATAATTTAGTTTGTAAGTAAAATATTCTCTATATTACTTATGTACATATGTAAATAATAAAATTAATATTAAGGACACATTACCGTTAAATCATTAATTAATTTTGGGCTTCTCAAATATCTTGGTTTGGTCATATTTCCGCATAACATTCCAATATCTACGCAATATATTCAACGTTTATATTTTACTTATTTATGACATAATGTTAATTGTATTATTTATAATAATTGTTATTAGTCAACAAAATAAAAAAATTTTATTAGCTTCTTATCTTACCGTGAATTTCAATGTATTGTGGATAAATGCAATTTATTCTAATGATTGCATATTCAGGTCCGCCTAAAAAGCCGATGACTCTTACTGACAATGTCAAGCCGCTGCTATTAATAAGAGAAATCATATATTCGGGAGGTTGTAATCTCCAGTGGCAAACAAATGAAGTTTCATTAAAAGGCAGATTTGTAGGACCTGTTAAATTGCCTTCTACTTGTCTCACAAGTCCGCTACAGGCTGTGTAAATAAAAAAACAATCGATAGAATTTATTAGATTAATAATTGATTAAAAATTTTAAATTTTATATTTTACATATATTTGATAAAATATAAATTTAATTTTTATATTAAATATAGTTTGAAAGTATTTTGATTTAAATTGTATTAAGATACACGAAGGATATGTTATTGTTGATAGTAGCTTTTGAAACTTACGAGCCGGAGCCTCAGCAGTATATCGAAGTTTGAAACCTCGATGTCCGGTGGAGGACCAATAGCCAATAAGCATGGTATCGCTAGAACTCCTTATCGTCTCTGTATTAGCGCCTTGTCCTAAGACTTTGATTTTCGATTTATAGTGAAAATCATTATAGAACTGCAAAAAAGAGAAAGTTCAGCATACATCTTTTTTCGCCGAATTAACATTCTTTACATTAATATTATATTACTCACCGATAATGCATATCCCACACGCATAGCTCCAGATTCGGTAACAACATCTATATCCAAAATATTCACCACGATTTGATAACCTATTGGTACTTTAATTCGCCAATCGCAATATCTATAAATAATTTATTGATCAAATAAATGTTAGTGATCAAATAAATGTTAGGTTTTAAAAATATATTATTATAAGACTAATAGTAATATGCTTTTGCAATATATATGAATAATTAATGTATTTGTAATTTTGTTATTCATTAAAATGATTTATAATTTTGTATTAAGTATTTTATATTATATCTCTTTTTAATTAATAAGTATATTCAATGTATAAAATATTATATTCTATTAATTATTAATTCTATTAATTTAACAATAAAAGAATAACGATTGGAATGTATATTGTTTTCTAAAAAAAAATTACCTAGGTCGTGTACGTGGATTAGGATATCCGGGTGATTTAATTATTCCATTCAGTGCAGTTAATGAACCGCCGCATGCTATAAACAAATAATATAGAAAATAATGTTATATACTATATATATATATTTTTTTTAACATAAAAATATTTGTAAATATATAAATAATGTATAAAGTAAAATTTATATGTAATAAAACATACTTTAATATTTTGTTTTACTAACTTTCTTGGCTAGCGATGAAATTTAGACTGAAGCCTTTGTAACTCACATACTCTCTGTTATCGCTTTCGAATGTTACATATACTGCATTTGTCGATGTTTCAATTTCATCCGGTATTTGAAGACCACAATAAGTTCCAATTGTTGAAACTGTAGAAATATATCCTTGTTCATTGTTTCTCATGTTATGTATAATAAAGTATATAATGAAAAAGTTTAAATTCAAATTTACATAATTAATTACTTACTAGTATCATTTTCTATAAGTTTTTCTGCAATTTTAACGTAGTCGGTTGAATAACACCCATGAAAGCCAGGAAGTTCGAGATCGCGGAATTGTAATTTTAGGGTATGATCTGTCGGCGCAATAATCAGCCATGAACAATTCTGGTTTGTAGGATATGGATGCGGATAATTCGGAGATTGAATGACACCTGTGGGACTCCGTAAAATTCCGCCACAAATCTCTATACAAATATTAATACATATTTTTCATCACATTTTTTTATCTTAATATAAATTTTGTAATATATGGCAGACATCCACATTGTTTAAATTGAAAGAGAATTATTTTATAACCTTATTGTTTCAATATCATATAAAAATATATAAAATACATTTATTTAATGTTTACCTCCTACAGTAATTACAGCTTTAAAACCATTCTTAGGTTCTGCCACATCCGTGTAGAAGTGGACATATATCATATTGCCAGTAGTACTCATACTGCTGGGTGCTATATCTTTACAAAATTTTCCCAGGAATCGCGAACCGTCTGTTCCACCATCCCTTATTTCAACATATTCTCTCTCACAACTAAAAAAGCACATATGATAGAAGTATTATTATATAAAAGCTTTTTAAAAATTTGCTTTATTTTTTGTAATAATTAAATCTCACTTCTCCGAATAGCTTAAATCAAATCTTTCCAAGAAATGAATAGTAAGCCTGTCACCAGCTGGAGCAGTAGCTTTCCATACGCATTCGGCATAAAGTGGAGGAATATTTGGATAGTTGGGTGATGATATTTCCCATTTCTTTTGTTTATTTGTCAAAATAAACTCACCACCACAATTCATGCTTACTTCTCTAAAATATAAAAAGATAAGTGTGATTAATGAAAAATTAAAATAAATATTTTGATAAAATAATATTTTGTTAAGACATTAGAAAAATATTGATATCTTTTGATGAAATAATAAATATCTATATAATTGTAATGTAACTGTATAAAATTTGTTCATTTAAATGTTATTAATTAATCTAAAGATTTGTATCACGCACGACATCACCTGTAAGTGAGCCTAAAGCGGAAATGATGACCAGCGCCTGTAGCTTTAATATAAAAACGATTTCCAGTAGTTTCTAGTTCTGGTGGTATTACTTCGCCACAATATTTTCCATTACCTAACAAAGGCGAAAGCATTCCATCTCCATTTTTTAACTAGAATTATATATGTATAAATTATTTTCTTAAATTAAACTTTGTTTTATTACTTTTCGCCAAAGCTTATGATAACTGTCTCTACAAATCTTCTCAAATGTGCATAATTTTTTTGTTTATAATTATATTAATAGTAAAATCTCTAATAATATAATGTCTGCTAACCAGCAAATAATTATCACCACAAGAATGATCGGGCATTTCCTGTATCGACATATCAGTAATGCGAACTTTGATAGTTCTACCAGTTCTCACTGTCACAGTCCACTTGCATGTGAAATGCCACGTGCGGATCGCTCTCGCTGTAGAAGAATTGTCATATTCAATTACGCCATTGGGTTCAGTTAATTTACCTCCGCAATCTGAAAGTATTAATGAAAATATTTATGAACATTTTGTTTTATTAAAATCTAATTCTATTAACGCAAATATGACATTAACAACCTCGATATACATATGCGTTGAAGCCGGTTTTATTCACAAATGCATCCGTTTCGAATTTTACTGTCATCACATTGGTTCCGCTAATTGAAGACGAACTCGAATTCGCCAAGCATAATTTACTCTCCAAATGAGCATTGCTTGTCGACGTTAATGCGTATCCCGAATAAACAGAAACCGAATCCGCTCCGCAATCACTAGTTTCTTCTAAATCCATGGTTATTATCCTCAATACCAAATGCGTTCCAGGTGGCGATGTAAAGACCCAATTACAATGCAAATTGTCAGCATAGCCGGTAGGCCAGCCGGGAGAACTGAAGGAATATGTGTTGTTGCGATCACTCATTAATTCTATTTCTTTATTACATTCTGATACTGTAAGCTAAATAAAATAAATGA